ACGACAACCGATGCGACGTTAAGAATTAATCGAATCGAATGAAGTAATAAATTTAAACCTGCACTATTATCGTCCTTTCAAGCGTTACAATTCTATCCTCTTTAAAACGTCGCTAAACGAAATCATTATTCTTTTTTTACCAGCCTTCTACTGAACAGCTACTATAGGAAGGATTTTTCATTTTGTAACAGCGTCGCGCATCTTTGACGTTGCCCGTCTTCGGTCTAAACTCAAATCTTTTTATTCAAAATTAGCGATCTACCCCAGGTACACACGGGTGATTTCTGGATCTGACTGATCTGACTACAGTGATACCTACTCGATCCGAGTAAATCTAAGCCATCCAAGGACTCACTCACACCTAAACAAAAATGACATCGAAATTGGTCCAGCCGTTCTCAAGTGATGATCTTTCACACAATTGATTTATAGTTATATCTATAGCTTGGCTTTTACAAAGCACTTTTTGAACGTTTTTTTTATTTTTCTTTATAGAATAGGGTGACAAACCAGCACACAGTCCAGATGATGGTAAGTAGCTGCTGTGGCCCATAGACATTTATATCTATCCTCTAAATCTAAATGCAGATATCCATCAAAATGCAGATGCGTTGTCACCAGTGAGGTCTAAGATGAAATGCCTCGTTTCCATTAAAAAGGGTATCCGGTTCTCTACACTCACCAAACAAAATACAACAGCATTAAGCTACTATTTTAAGACACTGACCTCGGTATCTAAACCCGTTCCTTAGGAAAAGTACATAGACAGACGGACAACAAAGTGATTTTATACGAGATCCGATTTTTCTTTTTGAGATACGGTACCCTAAAAATGGTATTTGGTGAAAAAAAATTATGCTTTTTCATGCTAGTATTATTTTCACTTATATGGACTCTGAAATAAATGGATTTTATTAGGTATATTTTATTTTTATTTGATTTTATTAGGTTAGAGCATCATCGTTACCCAGTCGAGTTTCCGCCTAGCCCTTCCACTACTACGTATTTTTTATACTTTTGTTTTATAGAAGATGACAAACGATTACACAGTCCACCTGATGGTGAGTGGATCATCTGGCCCATGGTCATCTACACCTATTCTTAATTAAGAATCAAAATGCAGATGTGTTGCCACCCCTGAATACTAAGATGAAATATCTCGTTTCGGTAAAAAAGGGTCTGCAGTTCTCTACACTCACCATACAAAACACAGCAGCATTGAATTGCTATTTCACGCTGGTTATCTGTGAGAGCGTGGTCCTTCCCCGGTCGAGCCGCCCCATTCGTGCTACAACCATAATATAACTGCAGCATGGCTCTACCACGTATAAAAATATAAAATTCCAACAACACGGTGAGGTCGTAATTTTATAACCCTTTAATATTGTATCATTTATAACTAGATTTATATGCTTATTACTGTTATTGCCTTAGATAAAGAGAATAAAAAAGATTTCCATTTCACGCGTTATACTTTTACTTTCTAATTGTTCATTGATTTATAGACTATTATAAACTAAAAGATGTGGCAGCTCAAGGGCAAAGCGCTCACCGAATGCTGAATTTCACATTACATCAATGAAATTGTTACCAATTTACCACGTGCTCGCTGGTTAATGAAAACATTGTAAGGAAACCAACATGTCTGAGAAATAAAAAAAAATATATTTGGAACACGTCAAATCGGGGTCTCACTTCATAATTATGTTGGTGGTAGAGCCATGCTGCAGGTATATTATGGTTGTAGCATGAATGGGTCGGCTCGACCGGGGACGGACCACTCTCTCACAGAATACCAGCGTAAAATACCAGCTTAATGCTGCTATGTTAAACTCAACATATGAATGTAGAGTTTAGAGAACCAGAGACCTGTTTTATTGAAACGAACATTCCATCTTAGCCCTTAAGGATGACAACGCATCTGCATTTTGGTTCTTAATCGAGGATTATTATTTTATTATTTTTATTTCTTAAAAATCGGATTTTACTTTGTCTAAAAATTAAAAAATTAAAAAAATTATAATAATAAAAAATTTAAAAATTAAATAAGTATAAATAATACGTATAAATACCGTGGAAAATTTAAAAATTTTCCACGGTATTTATACGAACGAGAGTAGCACTCACTGCATCGTTAAATTGGAGTAGGTATACGTTGTGATTCCAAGTTGCATGTTATCTCCTCCTTAATCGCTTCGGTCGCATCTGAGGTCGAATATTTCCTGACATGTAGGTATCTTAATAATTACGCAATATCGAAAATATGTTATTTTAAATTCAAAATTTACAATATTTACTTTAAACAAATTTATGCTTACCTTTAAGCGTTTATCTACGCTACAGAGTTGTCTTATATAAAAAAGTTATATATTATTATTAAGTCACTACATTCTATTATTATGGTTTAAAAATTGTAATTTATACTTTAAAAAATACGTACAAGAGGTATTTAAGTATTAAACTTCCGATAAAAAACTAACATTAAAATAATATTTAATATAAAAGACGTAATAAAAATAAATGAACTCTGAAATATATAAAAAGGAATTGAAAAAAAATACAAAAAATTGAGTAATAAACCTCAGAAATACATAAATAAATCTAAGGCCAGATTCTAAAAAAGATGTGTATGACCGCTTCCTTACGATGCGTACTCTCTGATGGCGTAACAAATTGTTATTAAAAAAATATTTTAACACTTTTCGTAAACAACTAACTTTTTATATAATAATGGTGATAAACCAGCATACAGTCCACCTATTAGTAAGTAGATGTTGTGGCTCATAAACATATACATATCGTCGGTTAAAAATCTAAATGCAGATGCATCGGCACCCACAAGGACTAGGATGGAATGCTTCGTTTCCAGTAAAATGGATCTCCGGTTCTCTTCACTCACCATACGAAACACAGCAGCATTAAGCTGCTATTTTATGCTGGTATTTTATAAGTGATCGTTCCCCGATAGTGCCGATCCATTCGTGCTATTACAATAATATACCCGTAGTGTGGCTGCTTTAACACGTATAAAAATACTACGTAGTTTGATTTATTCTATTTTTAAGTGACTAGCCACGAACGCAGTTACATAAATAACCACTCGTTAGATGCAAGCACATTAAACGTTTTCTAATAATTAATAACAGATAATTTTGCTGTCAGAGCAATGCGGCCATTTCGCTCGAGTGTTGATTTTCATTTCGCTTCGCTGTTTTATTATCTGTTGTGAGACGCAACATTGAAAGCGTGTGTTTAATTTTAATGATTACTCTTTCGTTTTCTAACGATTCTTTAAGGCGAGAAATCCTTGTATTTTATACCATTTAAGATTAAGTACAAAGGCTTGTTGATACTTAATCTTAAAATTAAACAAGCGGTTGTAGCTGAGGGGCTAATAAGGTCTTGTTGTAAATATCGAACGTCGCCGGCACCAACGAAATTGTTAATTACAATATTAAGTGCTTATTTACCACGTGCTCTACGGTAAAGGAAAACATTGTGAGGAAACCTGCATGTCTAAGAAATTAAAAAAAAATATTACAAAGATATGTAAATTCCATCAACACGCATTAGGGCAGCGTGGCGGACTTTCCCTAAGGCTAAAACCTTTTCGGAAATGAGAGGAGGCCTGTGCCCATGAGTGGAACATAGTAGTATGTAACTTTAACTTTAAGATTCAATATGATAGGTACACCATAATCTATTGGCGCGTCACTCTAATAGAAAAATATATACAGAACTCCTGAGTACATTTATACATCATACATCCTGAGTGACGCCGAAACCGTGGCGTACTTCTTGACAAGCACACACGCACACATCTTTCTTCTTTTTTAAAAGTCCGTAAAATTCACTGCTAAACGAACACGTATGCACCTTAAACCATGTTGTTGATTTCAAACGATTTTAGATGCATACGTTTGCGTGTGTGGCAGCGCTGTCGTCGCGCCACAAGCCAAACACGTCTTAGCCTTATAGGTTTATATAGTAGCTCCGTACTATCTCTCGGAGCGTTGGCCACTCCTCGGGCAGAACACCTTGTCCGGTGGGAGTTTTCCCCTTTTCCTTCTACGGCCAAACGTGCACGAGCGTGTGTGTTCCTACAATATTGAGCATGGCTTGGTTTTGCGTTACTGAAAATGTAACGCCGCGCCCCGTCTATCGTTCGTTGCATGTCTGAGATTGACGCGAAAAGTTCCACAAATGCTTTAAAGGTATTTTTTAAAATATATCCATAGTGATTACCTTTGTGCGACTGTTTAATTTGTGTGGTGTTCACTTAGAACATTTTAATCTAACAAATAATTTAAAGCGTCAATAGAACTGACAAATGACGATACTCGGGCAGTCTTCACATTTCGTTGTCGACTTACCACGCATGCGAACGAAACTGTTGCTTCATCATTCGTCATGCGTACGGTAAAGGAGTGCATTAAGTTCTAGAACAAGGTCTAAGATTAGGGGGAAAGGGAAGTAAACCGCCAGATGGTGCGAGCGGTATTAAGGTGCATCGAAATTTTAGCTCGTAGCGAACCGTCAAGAAGCCCCAGTTATCTCAGATTACTGGGATTAGCCCGTTCGCAGAAACGACTACAGAAATAATTTCTATCGGAAAACCACCCCACGTGTCAGTCACATCATGACAGCCAGGTCCAGATATTTTATTCGCTCATCTGTTTCGGCTTTCACAAGATTCTCTTCATACGGAATGGTTGTCTACCAAAAATATCCTTGACTGTGCCCGGTCTATCAGCACAATATCAGGCTTATTCGCAAGAATAGTCTTAGCTGTGATGGTGGCCTGGTCCCAGTAGAGTCTGGCGAGCACGGTTTGCGGTAAGTACTTGTAATACGGCAGTTTCCGATCCACGAGACCGTATTTCAGAGCGAGCTTCTGGTGTAGAATCCTGGCTTTGGTGGTTGTGTCTGTGCAGTTACTCAGAGTTAGAATGCGCAGAACAACTGGAGATGACATGTCCATACCAGTCCTATTTCCGCAGATGGCGAGTATAGAAGTGTCTCTGGCTGGATGTCGGCGACGCAGCGGTGCGCGAGACGCTGCCCGGGAGCTGGACACGTTACGGGCGGCGCTCGTCGACAAGGACACACTCATACAGAGGTAAACAATATACAGAAGTACGAAATAATATAATTTAGAAGGGTATATACCATAAGTTAGGTATATTGCGTTAGCAATTATCTCGCTTCTAAACTTTTTGGGAATTTCTCAACGAGGTGTCACGGACGACTTAACAGGCCGGTCGCCTAGTAGCACGCATATTACACTATGTGTTGATTTTTCAAACAGTAGAATTTTCTTTTCATTTTGATGGCTCCATGGCACTGTGGCTTGGCATTGAGTTACGGCGCTGAGGATCGCTGGTTCAAATCCCGTACGGAACAAGTATATGTATGGCCTAGGAGTAATTGTTCCGGGACTAGATGCTCGTCCTTTTGCTATTTACATATGTAAACTGCCTCCGCGATTCAGGAGAAAATACTAGTGTGAGGGTAAGTTTTATAGGCAAAAATTGTTTAGTAAAGGTTATTATGCTACTAAAGAGTACATGGTTGATAATATATCTTGGGAATGAGGTGACCGCTACAATGCTGTTTCTAAATATTTTCATACTAACCATAATTTAAAAAATGTAGTGGCAGTGCAAAAATATTTACTACTCCATTCTGTGGGTGTAAGAGGCGATAGAGGGCAACAATCAGGAATGGCAGCGGCGCCTTTCTGATAACGACTAAAGATAAAAAACTGCGGTTGCCAAACCGCTTGCCAAGTGTGGCAAGTATAGCCCATACGAGGCAATCTATGGTGAGGACTATATTCGGCAGGGGACTTTAATAGACTGCAACGATAACAGAATAAAAGAAATATATTGTAAAGTAATTTTAAAAAAAAGTTCCGCTGGGTTTCTTGCCAGTCCTTCCCAGGTCAGAGGTTTTTCCGAACATGTGGTAATATATAGGCTTAAATGACATTCAATAAATATTCTTGTAAACTATTTTTTAATCTATTGTTTTCTATTCTATACTTTAGTTTTTTGTTATGTCCTGATTGAGTGTCGCTTATTTTCCTTTAAAGATTTCAAATTCCCTCTGATCAAATCTGGCAACACTGTTTGTGACATGTGTACTTACCGATATGTTGCTGGATACTCTAAAATTACATAGTAACTTCAACGTATATTATGCTGTCATTAGTTCTTAATACGTTGACTATGTCAAGACAAAATTGTGATTTTTTATAGCATAAGGGTGACAAACAAGCACCAGGCCATCAGATGATAAGTGGATGGTGTGGTCAATCAAAATTCAGATGCGTTATCACCCTAGAGGACTAAAATGGATTGGCTCGTTTCCAGTAGAATGGGTCTCCGGTCTCCGGATCTCTACACTCACCATACTAAACACAGCAGAATTAAGCTGCTATTTCAACGCTAGTATTCTGTGAGCCTGGCGCTTTCTCAATCGAGCCGACTCAGTCATGCTACAAACATAATAATCAATATTATGGTTGTTATATTTCACGATGAAGTTTTGAATTTGGTTGTTATTAGTCGTGCACATACACATTGTGTTAGTGTGCGAAGACATTGTGTTAGTGTGCGAAGACCTCGGAAGCGCTCAGTCACGAACGGAGTCGAACGAATCGCAGTTACACACACAAACGCGCCTGTCGGTACACGTCACTACTATAATCAAGGCGAAACCCTCATCGTGAAATAGAATAACTATACTAGATTTTCATAAATTTATAAAGACTCTTCTCTGTCAAACTCCAATATTGTTTCATAAGCTACGAAGTCTAATACCATATAAATTCTAATCAGCCTTAAGAAGCAACTAAGCGCTTCGCTCAGCGCTGCCCGTCTAGCCGCACAGGCTTCTTCACCGCCTGCCTCTAGAGCGAGCCAACGCGAGGAGTCTCCAGCGACTCTCTCCGCAGAGGAACGTCGGGCGCTGGAAGAACGCGCCGCCGCTGTCAACGCTGATCTGGAAGCCAGGAGGACGAGCATTCAGGAGCTTAGAAAGAGGCTGGAAAAGACGCATGTCACTGAGTAAGTAAATTGTATCAACAACTTTTAGCAGATGGTAGGCCTCATCCATCCGTTAAATCTTGAGTTTTCCAATTTCTTAGAATATAATCAGTTGCTAACTTCAACTATGAAATTAAATTAAAATACATTCATTTTGACAACGAAAAAAAAATGAAGCGTCATTCCTAAATATATAAACATACGGATAACATGGTTATCTATGCTCTAAAATCGAATATAAAAGTGTCTTAGCGGTCAGCAACCGCCCACCACGGAGTAACTATACATCACCTGCCTCGTGTAGAGGCGAAACAAGTGTCGTAGTATCGTCGATGGTGTGTCTTTTCTAATGTAGTGGTGCTGGGAGTCGTGGTGCTGGAATTGGTGGTGAGAGGATTGAGGGAGGGCGAGAAGTGCTCTTCAAACTAGGTAAAACACATCATTTTATTTTATTGAGCGCATGTCTAGGAATTAATTCTTAAGAACTTCAATATAATAGATTTCCGCAAAGTAACGCCTGATTCTATTAATTATCTTAAAAAGAAAAAAGACAGGAAAGAAATAACTCATACTATCGGTTGAAAAACATGCTATCGATTGGCATATGAAATATTTATACCTTTTTTAAATAAAACAATAAAACTAAAACTGGGCGGAGAACAGAGGGAAAAATACGAAGTCCCATAATATAACTAATATATTAAGAAAAGAATAGCAAACAAGTTTTGGCAATAATTAGGAACACTTCAAAAACCTACTTTAAAAACTAACCTCATTACACCATACTAAAATCGCTTAAATATTTACTCTAACTAATGTCAACTGTCAAAATTGCATCGAAAACCATTTTTAAACCATCGCCGTTTTAACCATTTATTTTTTGATTGACCGATGAAGAGCTATCGTATCACAAAGTCATTTATGCAAACAAGGCTGTAGTTTTTGAGTTATAAGAAAGTGACCATATTAACCATATTACCCTCACGTACTATAGAGTTAGTTAATAAATCGCTAATGAATAGAGTCAGGCGTTACTTTTCGGATATCCATTATATTAAATATCATCATCATCATCATCATCATTACAGCCCTTCACAAGTCCACTGCTGAACATAAGCCTCCCACATAGAATGCCACAAAGCACGGTCCTGAGCCACCTGCATCCATCGACTTCCTGCATGTCTTACAAGGTCGTCACTCCATCTAGTGGGGGGTCGCCCTACACTACGCCTACCGGTACGAGGCTGCCACTTCTATTAAATATGTCAAAAGTTAATCAACTAAGATCCGCGTAATACTATTACGTGCTTTATTGCGCGCATCTTAGCAAATTAGTTTTAAAAATCTTGAAAAAAAAAACACTGATTTATTGCCATTATATCATCATCCCATCGAGTTTAAGTGTATTGTTGTAGTATATAAGTTAAGTATTGGAGTCCTAACATTGTAATATAATTGAACAGAAATATCGACACGCGCATCCAGCAGGCGGAGCTTCAGTACCAACTGGGTCGCGAGGAGCTGGAGCTGCTTACGCTGGGCGAGCAGGCGCGTGCGCTGGCGCAGCTCATTGAGCACGCGGACGCTGCCAGCCGAGTATTCACCACCACCCTCTACAGGTGAATAGCTTAACGCTTTAAATGCAATCGTGTAGTAGCGGTGTAAGGATATCCACTATTTACACGTACGCTGTAAGAATATCCATTATCTATATGTTGTAAAGTTATGTTGCAGCTATATTATTATGGTTGTAGCACGAATTACGCTCAACCGGGTAAGGATTTTTTTTGATTTATTTAGGACAACCAACAAGACGTACACGAACACAATGTAAATACTACAAATTACAGGAAGGTTTATATCTAAGTGTCGTCTTAATTAAAGGTTGCCAAGGCATGCAATGTGGACAACGAATATGTTTCTACAAACTTTAAAACTAGGTCTAAATGTTAGTTAACAGTAAAGGACTGCATAATTTTTCGTTTGAATTTTTGAGGCTTATCAACAAAAATATCAATGTCATATGTCTTGCAGAGCTGGTTATATCGCCTCTGTAACCTGTTTATGGCGGCGTGGTGACCCAATTAAGTTTTACTGCCTTCAACTGAAAAGGGGACGTATCGGCTGACACGCACTAGCTTAAAAGGTACCTTGAAATTTATTGCACTTAGTAGGTATGGACAGTCTACGGTTCCATTGACGATTTTGTGTAGCAACATGAAATCTAGCAAAAGCCTCCGCTGTTGCAGGGTACTTAATTTAAAATACGTCAGTCGGTCTTCGTATGAGAGTAGATCCTTTATTTTGTAAGTTAAGTTAAAGTTAAGTTAAGTAAGAAGACCTGACTACAGTATTCAAGACTGGAACGGACTAAAGACTTGTATAAGGATATTTTTGTAGAGGTCCTCTCAAATTCTTTAGAATTACGCAACACGAACCCCAACATTTGAAGACCCCTTGTAACAATTCCATCAACGTGCTTATGAAACCGCAACTTTTTGTCCAGAATCACACCCAGATCTCGAACAGAGTCCACTTCTACCAAAGAATGACCATCAATATTATACATAGGTGTCGGAACATTTACACATCTTGAGAATCTTATAATTTTACATTTATCGAGGTTCAAAAATAGTCTTTTTGTAACGCACCACAAAGACATCCGGTCCAAATCCACTTGCAATAGGAGTGAGTCACTGTGGTCTTTGATTTTCAATGACAATTTCATGTCATCTGCGTACGTAAAACAGGTCGCGTGTTTAAAAACAGACGTTAGGTCATTTATAAAAATATTGAAAGAATCGGACCGAGATGAGAACCCTGAGGAATGCCAGATGTAGGTAGAAATGATTCTGAGGAGTAACCATTTACTTTATTTTCTCAATTTTCTCTTCCTGAGGTATGAAGAGAACCATTCGAGAAGATTGCCAGTGATGCCCAAAATTGAGAGTTTGTGAAGTAAGATGTTATGATCTATAAACTGTTGGGACAATACGTGCCTGTTTCCAGACCGAAGGGAAAGTACACGTTTTTAAAGACATATTGAAAATGGTTGTTAAAGGCAAGGATAACGCTTCGCGGCAGTTGATTACAAACAATTTTTGGAAAGTGCTCCCTCCAGATCCGCGACATAGTTTTTATGACAGGTGCTTATTAATGATTTCTTATATTTACGCGAACACTACACATTGAAATAATACTAGTTTTTAAGGAATTTATCGCGTGTATTTAACTTTTTACCACAGTCGAGCGTGTACCTGCTGTACTGCCATATGTTAGAGGAGTCACTGACAAGATTGGCTACATCTTGAAGCGCGCTTCCATCAAAACATACTTCAAGCCGCTGAAGAAGATTGGTCAGTTTTTACCATCGGTCAAGTGTAATGTCCCTCTGCAAGATGCAGGAGTGTACAAGCTTGATTGTGAATGTGGTCTCTCTTACATAGGACAAACTAAAAGATCAATAAAAACCCGCGTTAAAGAACATATAGCCGATGTGAAGAATCGACGCTCCGGGAAGTCTGCAGTCTGTGAACACGTACAGGATCGCCCCCGTCACTACATCAGATTTGATAGACCGCAGATCCTCGCTAAAGAACACCGATTCCTTCCAAGGATGATTCGCGAGGCTATTGAAATCAAAAACATCCTAATTTCAATAGAGAAGATGGCTGGGTGCTACCATCTGCTTGAGATCCTATAATAAATAAAATTAAATCCCAACCCAAGCATACAACTGCAAGACTTCAAGATACCATAAGTTCATACTGCATAGATCGGAACAAAAGTTAAATTTTAATTTATGGTAACCGCGGTTAACTATGACATATGGACGTTGAACATCTCAGTCCTGCCCGTGACCATGAGTGCTGTAAAGCGTTCGAAACGTCGGGTAATTAAAAAGTTAAATACACGCGATAAATTCCGTAAAAGCTAGTATTATTTCAAGGTGCTTATTAATTCGGCGCATCTTTTGCTAAGTGTTTGTAATGCAAGTTCGTCCAGTGGATTTTTGTATTTACGGTACCTCAAACGAAGTTTGTTTTTTTCCTCGAGGAGATGTATGAGTTCCTTTGTGTACCATACTGGAAACTTTTTTGTGGAGAGTTTACATTTTTGAACGTACTTAGTAATCGTGTCTGTTAAAATAGCATAAAATTCTCTTACCATGACATCAACCGAACATGAAGATTGTATACGGTCCCATGAAACTGAATTTAAATGTGTTATGATTTTATCGTAGTCCGCCTTATGAAAGTTATATCTTTGGCTTTGAGCGTTAGGCAATAAACTTGGCGGATCACAAAACGAAAATGTTAGAACTAAGGGAGGGTGGTGAGAGTCAGGGTTACTCAGAAGAGAGTCACCACGAACCACACCACTAATCTTCAGCGTACTGAAGAGAACGAGATCAAGAAATCTACCTTTGTCATTTAAAATATAGTTATATTGAGTGAGATTATTAAGAGCAATAAAATCCAGTAGAGCATTATCTAGTGAGCTTTTGGTTATAAAACTGAGTGGAGAAGACGTATTTCGTTTATCCCAGATAATGTTACCCAAATTGAAGGCCCATAATTAATGTTTTTGCATTTGATTCCAACACTCGGTTTGTATTTTCAATATAACAATCAAGAATGTTTTTTTGTAAAGGTGAGGGAAGATATACACAACACAATAATATGTTTTCAGAGGAATTACCTCTTCCGCCTATCTCTAATTCCACCCATACATCCTCACAGTCGCTTTCCAGATGTGACATCCTACGAGAGCAGATATGTTTGGATACTGCAATGAGTACCCCGCCACCAGGACCAGGTTTATTACTATGGAAGCCACTAGTCTCCCGGTCGCGCCTGTACACTAGATATCGCTCACTCAAAAGTTCGCCATCGTATACAGTATTGTTAATCCATGTTTCGCATAAGAAAATGACGTCGTAATTAGAACTTAATACACTATTATAAAATTCTGTGGTTTTTGTGCGGAGGCCGCGTACGTCACGCCCGGATCTCGCTCCCAGGATCACGCTCTTACAAAATACCAGCATAAAATAGCAACACTGACAACATAATGATTTCTTATATTTACGCGAATTCTACACGTGAAATAAAACTAATTTTTCGGATTCTATCCTCTAATTTTTTTTCGTTTCGGACACTTTCTAGCGCTCATGGTCACGGGGGGACCAAAGAGTATATTAAGTGTACATAGGCTGTTTGATTTGTACTAGGTGTTTGACGTCCCGATATCATAGTTAACGAAGGCTACCTTCAACTTTTAAATATTAATTTTGACCCGATCTACGCAGAACGATCTTACAGTATGCTTGGGTTTGGTTTATATTTTAACAATTATGGGATCCCAAGAGCACCCAGCCAACTTTTCTGTTTGGTTGCCAACCTACTTACCAAGCGTGACAACTATGGCAAAATCTCCCCTACAACGCAATCTGTGGAGCAGGTCTATGTACAGCAGTGGACTTTTATAAGCTGTAGTGGACTAAATGCAGAGTCCACGGCGCCGTAAAGCTATAGGATAGTAAAGCTCACGGTGCCGTGGAGAGGCGTGGGGCCGAGTACACGGCCACTTCTTTTTAACATATTTTAAGTCGATGCTTGACCACAATTCAAAACAGTGGTGATAATCTATTACCGTCCACAAAATAAAAAACCAGGGAGTATTACCTACCGGGTGCACAAACTAACTAATAATCTCAAACACTTCTTAATATGTGCAAGGAATACACTGAGAGTCACTGCCGCTCATATAAATGAAGATTTGTTTTGTTGTTTTATTTTAAAGGCAAAGGGATCTACGAGTACATCCTCGTCAGACATGTTATTCTTTTTTCACAAAATTCTTCGATAATAATCCTGTGGGTGTTGTAAGAAACAACAGCATTATCCTATAAAAACTGCTGTTGTCAAACGCTAGCCATATGTTTGAAAGCGGTACCTAGTTGTAAAATAATGAGGCAGAAGTAAACGAATACGTAGCTTACAATTAAAAGCTAAACGCTAGTTTCAATTGTTTTGCATCAGCTTATCCAGCGCCATCATCAGAAACAATTACAATACGTTTGTTGGCTTGATGCACGGCTCCATTCAGATTACGCTAGATAAATATCGTGCGAAGCTATAAGGGTCACGGAAATAGTGTCACAGCGAGGGTTGCCATTTTTTTATTTGTAAAGCAAGGGTTACGAACGAACACACAGTCATGATGATAGATATGAAATGAGATTATTATTATTATATATTTAGATTATTTATTTCTTTGATGTGTGATATAAAAATTTCATTAACCAAATTCCCTTTTTTTTTGTTTCACTAAAACTGAACTTGTGAAACCTGAGAAGAAACGGTAAAAGAATCTCCGCAGTTTGTAACATAATGGTTAATATTATTATAATATTTTATACTAGCAACCTTATACAATAATTTATTAGTTTTTCGATATTTCAAAAAAAATTCAAGTTTTTCGGTTATGGGCTAGCCTGAAACCTGGATCCCTCCTAGCATTGATCTCTATCTATTCGTCTAGTTTCATTACAATCGTTTGTAATGAAACTAGACGAATACTATAATACATACATAATAGAACGGGGAGTGTGCAG